AACGCTATGTTGAGCAATAGAAAACCACACAGTTTTAGACTGACTTGATAACTACGGGGATGGCATCTTTCAGTTGTTACCAACGCTATGTTGAGCAATAGAAAACCACACAGTTTTAGACTGACTTGATAACTACGGGGATGGCATCTTTCAGTTGTTACCAACGCTATGTTGAGCAATAGAAAACCACACAGTTTTAGACTGACTTGATAACTACGGGGATGGCATCTTTCAGTTGTTACCAACGCTATGTTGAGCAATAGAAAACCACACAGTTTTAGACTGACTTGATAACTACGGGGATGGCATCTTTCAGTTGTTACCAAAGCTATGTTGAGCAATAGAAAACCACACAGTTTTAGACTGACTTGATAACTACGGGAATGGCATCTTTCAGTTGTTACCAACGCTATGTTAAGCAATAGACACCCCACACAGTTTTAGACTGACTTGATAACTACGGAGATGGCATCTTTCAGTTGTTACCAAAGCTATGTTGAGCAATAGAAAACCACACAGTTTTAGACTGACTTGATAACTACGGGGATGGCATCTTTCAGTTGTTACCAACGCTATGTTGAGCAATAGAAAACCACAAAGTTTTGATTGTGGAAAAATTCGTGAAGATACTGACTGAAAAATATATAGAAGTCCAGAAAAGACTATGCGTATTTCATAAAATAAAAGAAGACCTTTGGTGAATTGCAACCGGAAAAGCTAATTGCATGCCTCCAAAGTATAGGATTAGATGTAAAGGGTATCAGAATTATTAGTAACCTATACTGGGAACACATAGCAACAGAGGTCACTTTGCGTTGACGTGTGTACGTTGAGTCCTCGGTGACAGGGCCTTTAAGGCAGAGCCGTCAGAGGACTGTCACTGCTCATCATATGGGTGTATGTCTGGAGACACTGCACATCATATGGGTGTATGTCTGGAGACTTGTCGCACAAAGATTGACCACCTACTTGGAACTACATGATAAGTTCCCATCAACACTTGGAGGGTACAGATTGAAGAAAGAGACATGGTCCAATGCTGCTGTTTTCGCCTACGATGTGTACGAGGGATTTCAGATTAAAGAAGAGACATGTGCGGCAGTGTTGGACTTAGAAGATGCCTACAATAAAGTACCATATGATTATTTAATGCAATTACTGCTTAAACTAGAAGTCAATCCTATTCTGATCCGCTGGATTGCTGCGGTCCTGTTCCAGAGAAAGATTGTACTAAGATGTGGTAGCTGGTCCTCAGAACCGCAAACGATATGTCCAGGCTTGCCACAGGGATCACCGCTATCACCAGTCTTATTCAATGTTTATACGGTGATGATCACTGAGCAGCAGTTGAATGGAAAGGGAAGGACTTTGTCATTTGCTGATGACATTTTGATTTATCGACGAGGACGTGATAGACAGGAGATCGCCAGCACAATGCACAAAGAACTCGATCGAATTGCCGCCTGGTGTGATGGTTCCAATGCCTATGTCAATCCCTCGAAGGCATCAGTGTCATGGTTCTCTTTGAACAATCACATTGTCAAGTCGGACTTACCAGAAGTGAAAATGCGTGATAATGTATTGATCAGAACCAACGTTATGACGTTTCTCGGGGTGAGGTTCGATCGCAGCTTGTCATTCAGGGAACACGTTGACCATGCGATAACAAAAAGCACGCAAAGGTCTATCTGCAATGAGGATTATGGCTGCTTCCAATATCGAGCAAAGACTGCTGGTGCTTCTATTCTATGGTCTGGTCCTTTCTCCCATTGAATACGCTCTGGCCATCCTCACTGTCAGTGCTACCCAGATTGAACGACTCGAGAAGGTGCAAAATGAAGCCATGCGTATTATTTTGGGATGTACAAGAGACACATCCTGTGGAGCAATGAGGTATCTACTTGACTTTCCAACAATGAACCAAAGGATCAGGATGTGGAGGGCTCGGGCATACCTCAAAATAGTGCTGATAAGAAACACCCACTGCATCAAGCGCTTTTTAGTGAAAAGGGCGACAGACTGAAGAGGGGAAAATCGTGGCTAGGTCGGGCAGAAGATGTTATTAGGCAAATATGCAGCCTAACCGACATCATACCTGGTGCAGAATGGATACCTGTGCCTCAGGCGTTTATTTGTACATTTTCCTGTATTGTCACACTCAACAGGCGATGTAGAGAAGAGAATCCTGTTGCTGTTAATGCAGAGGTCAACGCTCTCATCGGTGAAAATTCAGACGAAGCAGATGCACTAATCTATACAGACGGATCAGTTATACGCCAAAGAAGAAGCGCATGGGCATTTACAGCACGCTAAGCGGGCAGAACAGTCAAAGAAGCCAACGGCGCCTTCTCCATGACAACCAGCAGCATGACGATGGAGGTGATGGCAGTGACGCAAGCGTTTGCCTGGCTTGAAACACAAAAATACACCCGCATATGTATACTCAGTGATTCAATGAGTATGATCCGGAGGGTTCAGGCAGGTTCAGTGCGAAGGACAATGGCTTGAATCAATTCAGAAGTCCACTGTGCGAGGAGTCACCTTTATTTTTGTTCCGGGACACGCAGGCGTCGATGGAAATGAAAGAGCTGACAGGTTGGCTGGATCCGCTATCACTACCGACGGTCGGCCTATGGATCATGCTGATATTATCAATGCCCTCAGAGAAATGGGAAGGATAGAGGACTTTGGTGGCAGTGAATCCACATCACTCGCCAGAATGGCAGACTTGGGAATTAAGATCGGCACAGCAAAAAACGAGACGCACACCGGACACGTCAGAAGACTTGTTAATCAACATAGAACTGGTACTATTAGCCATCGGACGTTGGGATTCATACTGAGGGGAGGATCTGAGCACCTATGGACATGTCCGGAGTGCAATGATGATAACCCAACTAACTAACTAACTAACTAACTAACTAACTAACTAACTAACTAACTAACTAACTAACTAACTAACTAACAATGTCTGGAGACACTGCACATCATATGGGTGTATGTCTGGAGACACTGCTGATGAGAGTATTTGGAAGGCAATAGTAGATGTGACTGTGTGCCAGCGATCACCACTTATCTTCTTCACAACGTGTTCGCCCATAATAAAGTAACGGATCGCACTATAAGATCATACTTGACGTGGTGTTTTATGTTACAGTACAGACAATGTTAATTGTTACCACAGAACACATCAGTAACGAATATAGTGGCTGGCCCTCCTTTACTCCAGTTATGGTCACCATGCCACTGAGAGTGGGCGGCAATGGGAGAATCTGTGTGTAGGTATGGAGAACTGACATTTATATAAACAAATCCCCTAAACACTTGGCCAGCCTGTGGTACATCCCCCACCACCGGTATATGACACCACAGGTATATCCCTCGACCGGTCGCATCACGCCACAGATAGAGATAAAAATAGGAGCACGAGTGTGTTATCCATCCCCAAGCCTTTGCAACTTATGTACAGAAAACTTTTGTAAACAGGTTGAGGAATTGCCTGGACTGAATAATAATGAAAGAAAAATAAACAATCTGAGATACCCGGATGACACTGTGCTACTGGCAAAAAGCGAGCAGGAGTTACAAGAAGTAGTTGATCAAGTCAACAGGCGGAGTGCAGATTATGGTTTAGACATTCATCATCATGATGTGCCCTCCCAGTTGGCGTAGGTACTCATGCATCTCCACAGATATATCCAGCATAATCTCTTTTGGTCTGCCTCTACCCCTCTTTCCACTGAGTTTAGACATTACCATTCGAAAAATAAAAACTACGGCAATTAACAATGGAAAAGAGCGACCAACAGTGAACAACGCAGTAAACGGAGAGCTATTAGAAAAAGTAACCAGTTTTATCTATCTTGGACGCGTAGTAACAGACGACAGAAGAGAAAAAACAGAAATCACAAAGAGAATATGAATTGCTAAAACTGTCTTTAATAAGATGCGTAAGTTACTGACAGCTAGAGAGAAAAACAACACACCGAAAATGAGAATCGTCAAACGTTATGTATACTCAGTCCTGCTATATTGTGCAGGAAGGTGGACAATGAACAAGCAACCAGTAAATCTGTCTGGAGATGTGGGTATACAGAAGAAAAGGTCATATATCACGGAAACAAAAAGCAGTCCAATATAGAGGTTCTGGAAAGGCTACACAGGAAAAGAGAATTACTGAAATAAATAAAAAAGAAACAGTTGAAATACTTTGGCCACATTAAAAGACATAACACAATTTTTAAAACCAGATTGGAGGTCGAAGACAAGAGATACCACTATCGACACGACCATCTTTCTCCTCGTCTATACACTTCCAATCGACTCCTGTAGCAAACCTAAAGACGAACTTGGGTGTGAAATCGGCGTACGCAAAGGAGAGAGCTGTGCTACAGTCCAATTAAATATGATATCATAGTACTTATGAGTTGCAAGGAATATTGTGTAGTGGAATGCTCTTGTCAAGATATTACGTTACTTATGCTTCACAAATGATGGGATGATGCATTTTTGGGGATCGAAAGAGTTGAGAAACATGTACTAGGTACTGTTACACAAATTATGACTTTGTCTGACCAGACTACGGAACACGTTTGTTTTAAATGGTGCTGATTAGGGGTGAGTGTATTTGTGTAGACTAGCACCCTTGTAACCTTCTACTTGTGCCTTTGTAAACTTATTCGACAAAATGAAATTCAGTGTGTACTCCACAGATGAGACGAAACCACTTTTTTTTTTTAAGGGTATCTGCCCTATACGCCACATGATGGTGATGATAGGATTGAAGACTTCCGGCTAAAAAGTTGCAGACGAAAGATGGAGTCCCACTGAGACTTGGGTCGTGGTGGTAGGAGTACTGCTAGACTTGACAACAGTTTGACATTTATACTTCCACTACATCGAGGCCACAGTTGGACACTCACACTGACATTTATCATCTGGCTGTTCCGAAGTTTATTGATGACTGACTAACACCAGCTGGTGTAAGAGTAGATAAGACAATGGGACAGACCAACAGCAACCGGTCTAACACTAACAGCAGCCTTCAGGCCAACAACGTCGACACTTACAGCTACAACACCGGGGGATCGACGACCACAGGCCAGGGGTTACCAGCGGGGTCCGGGCCGCAAGTTCAGGACGATGGTGTCTCCTGGTGGTGTAAAATGTTGGCTAGAACTTCGTGTGTGGTGGCAGGCCTGAGTGAGTAGTAGTAGTAGCACTTTCTTACTGAATTTGAATCAATTATCCTCTCCTTTGTTGACGTAACTACTTTTATATTCATTCTTTTGCAAGGCTCTCTAGCGAAGTTGCTTAAACCTGACTTTCGCGGCGGCCGGGTGACGAACTCCTTGTGGTCCGGGTTCACTCCCGGGGGTAGGCAGAAAAGCCACATTTCTCCCAGATTAACGGTACCTATAATGGAATCAAGGCCGAAGGGTTGCGATATCCATAGTACCGAGCCAAAGGGTTTACAACTCATGGTTTCTGGATACGTTAAAAAAAAAAATATTCGTTCTTTTAGAATAACACATTTTTGTTCTGGAATTTGAACAACATTAATTTTGAGCTCAATTTGTTTACTGCAACATAACAGCTAAAATCTTCATGGAGAAAAGTATTCGTTGTATAATGACATATATCAAATTGAAGAGAAATAAAAACATCTAAACTTGTGGGCCGCGACCCCTTTTTTTTAGTCTAACGACCCTTTCACAGGGGTCACCTAAGACCATAGGAAAACACATATTCACTGAAGTTATGAAGTAGCTAAGTAGCAGCAAAAATAATTGTATGGTTAGGGGTCGCCACAATATGAAGAACTATTTAGAGGGTCGCAGAATTAGGAAAGTTGAGAGCCACTGATCTGAACTATTTAAGTATCAGTATTACCACAATAGAATATTAAAATGGCTCACCATTCAATGGTGTTAGACACATTTAAAGGTTGGTTACGTATGAAATGTTGTGCTTACCCTGCTTGTTGACTTGTTCAGCAGCACTGCTATCCACTTTTCAGAATTGACATCGGCCTTCTCTGTTCAATTATGCATCAGCTAGTCTTTATCTCAGACAGTTAATCAGAATAAACTAATCTCAATATTTTGGATTATGTGACCATTTTTGTATGATTTGTAGAATTTCACAACCACAAAAAATTATACCTATTGCATCACCATTCTCGGAAAACAGTATTACTTCCTTTTGCTAATTCTTATGTTTTAAAAACATTTTTATACAAATTCATTTTCTGGCTATCCTCCAAATAACGGTCCCAAATTATTGAGGCCAAAAATATACCCTAACAGGGCCTCAGTCGCATGTCAATTGCTGACTTCTGGGGACTATACCACCACCGCCGAATTGCTGACTTCCAGGGACTATACCGCCACCGCTGAGAGTATCTCCTACGCTGCTACGCGCGGCATGGATGGGGGCTAAACTAGATGGCTGGGACTCACGAGCAAAAAAAAATGAAGGAAGCTGCAAGAGATGTGGTAGCTGCTGCTTGTGAGTCCCAGCCATCTAGTTTAGCCCCAGTCCATGCCGCGCGTAGCGGCGAGGGAGATACTCTTGGCGGAAGTCGGCAGAAGTGCACAATTAAAGTCGCAGGAAGTCCGCAATTCACGTGTGACTGAGGCCCTGTTAGGGTATATTTTCGGCCTCGATAATTTGGGACTGTTATTCGAAGGATAGCCCATTTTCCTAGTAAATGAGACAATATTAGAGTGTCTATGCGCAGCGCCACTTAACCCTTTCGCTGCTAAGCACTCTGCCAGCCAACATTACCACTGTGCTAAGCAAGTTCTCTGCTAATCCTTCCCAGTGCGCTGAATACTTACCTATCCCCCAAATACAAAAGATGCGTCTGCGATGTGGGCTATATTTTATACACTCAAACATATCCATCCAAGTGGGTGGTTGTCCCGGTGTTGACAGGTCAGACGCACTTTGACGACGCCAAGAAACCTTGCCTTTACAGAAAGGAAACGCTAGAAATTAGGTTGAATTGCCCGGCTTTACCAGGGATCGTGAAAGAAAATGTGTCCTCTACTAAGTCTTTGTCTCCACCGCTTCAATTTATGTAGTAGAAACTCTGTGGTGGAGGGAACAAAAACTGTAGCTTTCCAGTCATCAACAGGAAAATTCACTGAATGTTTCAACCGCTTTACATTCCTTGCAGGTGGATATTGCAAGACAGTTATTTTTCCTGTTTCTCCATCATCGTCGTCTCAACTGTTGCCATGTGTTTAGTCAGTGCCCCGAGTGCATCTGAGGCTCTTACCATCCCCTTCCACAGCCCCATACTCTTGACTGACAAATCACACCTACCGGGGGGGGAGGGGGGGGGGGGGGGGGGGGGTTGTAATGGAAGAACTGGTCTAAAAGAATCCTAGCACTTTACCCCAGGCTATGACTCATGTCTCATCTGTTACTCTTGAAGGGAACTCTTCTTCCAAAAAGTAACATCTCCTGTCTCAGGACTATCCTAGCAGGCACTCGACTCTTCTCAGGAAGGTAAAGTGTGGTCGTTTATTTCATCGAATTTCTTTTATATTTATGTAGTGTATAACTTATTTTATGCAACCCTATCAATGTATATAATATGCCAATAACAATAGGATTTTTTCTCATGGAAATGAATTGTTCATTCTCCATTTATTTCTTATGGGAAAATGTGTTTGGTATAAGTACTGTTTGGTATAAGTATTGTTTAGTATAAGTACTGATTGATATAAGTACTGTTTGGTATAAGTATTGTTTAGTATAAGTACTGTTTGGTATAAGTACTGTTGGTATAAGTACTGATTGATATAAGTACTGTTTGGTATAAGTAATGTTTGCTATAAGTACTGTTTGGTATACATCCAATGATCCAAAACTGATTAAGTACATATACTAAGGTGCCAATTTGTTAAAATTATTATGCAGTTTGTCTGAATATGGGGTTTTACATTTAGGGGTGATTGTCTGCGAGTTTTAATTGTTGCAACCAACAGTATATCTCTCAGTGGACAGTTTTGAGTAGCAAAAGTATAGACTTCTCCAATTTAGAAAGGACAATAAAAATGCATTCTTCTGTTGGAGAAGTTCCACAAATTCTCAGACATCAGTAGGCTAAAAGGCGACAAAGCTGTGAAACGTCAACAATTGGAAAACACAGAAAACAAAGCTTATTTAGAAAGTTACAGGTAAATAAACAAGGGACATTAGAGCAGCAGGTGTTGGCCAGGAAATGAAATAGAAACAACAGGGTGAAGAAAATCAACTGTGTGTTTCATTAATGTGTTGGAGTGCCAGCGAATGCCAAGGTTACTTCTGTTCAACTGTGTGTTTCATTAATGTGTTGGAGTGCCAGCGAATGCCAAGGTTACTTCTGTTCAACTGTGTGTTTCATTAATGTGTTGGAGGCCAGCGAATGCCAAGGTTACTTCTGCTGATATTCTGACTGTTTCAATGTGTGTCCACAGTTGCCATGATCACTGGGCTGTTTAGAATAATCACATTTACCCCCCTGTGCCTGGTGGCTGGCATTCTTCTCATGTAAGTACCAGACCCTGACTCTGATCTGCCATTGTCACTGCAGGCTTGTAGTCTGATTTATGATATGTCTGTCTGACAGTTTGAGACCATCTATCATCTTTTCTCTAACTGACAGTAAGACAGGGCTATTCAACTGGCAGCCTGCGGGTCAGACGGAAGCCTAGCAAGTGGCCCGCCAGTCATTGCCACTGATATGTAGTATATATAAAAAAAATGTAATCAATCAATGCTTCTGTATATAAATCTTCACAAACCAGTTGTGTCGAATATAACAATAGGAAATGTTTGTCAGGGATCTCTAAATGCGAAGATAAAGGGAACGGATATATGAACAGACAATACTTCACCTGTGGGAATGTCTCAGGCATGGAAATGTTCATGGTTTACTTCAAATAGCAGAAACCTGCCTGTTTGGAGCCAAAGATAATAAGATAGGCTGCACAGAATTAACTGGTAGGAAGCAATCACACCATTGGACAGTCAGTGAAGGTGTGAGATTTATTGGACAGGAGGCTTATGAAAATACCTGCCCGGTCCAGATATCGCTTAGATTACTGCAAAACTCTACTCAACAAGAAAAAGCTACAGCGGCTTCTTTGCATGCTTCATGGACTATTAGCCAAAAAGAAGCGGCCTTTCAATGACTCAGAAACTCTGAAAGAATGCATACTAGCAATTTTGGACGAAACAGCAGTTGATGATAAAATAAAAACAAGCATGGCACATGCAGTTCAAGCACATCCATATGATGATACTTCTACAATATGCAGATCGAAATTTTAGGAACTGAAGTTTTTGAATCTTCAACTGAAAGCATAAAGCTGGCAGAATTTGTGTCAGTTGCCCATTGACAAACCTACAGACATCATAGACGTAGCTCAGTTATGTTTATATGCACATTTGTTCGATGTAAAATGTTTTCGTGAAGAACTAGTTTTAATAGTGTTAGAAAATGTCACCGCTGGAAAAGTTATTTCTGACAAGATAAAGTTATTTTTCACAGACTATGGACTTGATTTGAATGAAATTTGTTTATTGGTAACGGATGGGGCAATCCTCATAAAGTCTTCAGTACCGGTTATTTCTGCAGTTACTTGAACAAACGGAAGCAGATTATAAAGACTTACTTTCTGCACAATGAAGTTCATTGGCTGAGTAAAGGGAAAGCACTTGATCGCTTTTGGAGTATCAAAGAAGAAATAATATGTTTTCTCTGAAACTGTTCTCATAACAAGGCAGAAAAGTATAGGAAAGTATTACGTGACAGTGCATTTTTGGCGAATGTTTATAAACAAATTATTTGCTGATTTGAACACACTGAACTTGCAACTGCAAGGAAGACAGAATAAAAATCATTGATCTGGTTGAAAAATTGAAGGCTTTTCGTGATAAGATGCCGTTGTTTGTAACAGATCTCTAAACTTCTTCATTTTCCAAACCTGAAGGATTTCATTTCTTCAATACTGGACCCAGCAACCATAACCAATCAAATGATAGATTTATTAAAAAAGCTTCAGAATAATTTCAACAACAGATTTGAAGACTTCAATATCCCTAACGATGTAATGCTATTCGTTTGAGATCTTTTTAAAATCCCTCCTGCGGGTGATTTATCTTTGAATGCTAAAAAGCTGTATCCTTTGTTAATGATGGTTCTCTGTAGTTAGAACTTGTGGATATGCAAAGTTCCAGTGCAGTGAATGAAGATTTTAAAGTAAGTGGCACCGTTAAATTTTGGTCTGAAAGGATTTAACAGGACAGTTCCCTAATGCTAGAAAAGTTGCTGTATTCATACTCACCCTGTTTGGTTCAACTTTCACTTGTGAATCATTTTCACATTTGAACGTCATCAAGACAGTCGGAGCTCACTGAGCAATGATAGGCTGCAGGATTGCATGAGAATGGCTCTTTCTCACCAACCAAATTTTATTACATTAGATCAAAAACGGAAATGCAACTTTTCCCATTAATTACATTTTGCCACATAGCTTTCGGTTTCTTCTGCACAAAGCCATATGAAACAAACTGTGGACAGTTATTATTATGACAGACAATGCAATAGAAGTGACAATGCTAACATTAATTTGTTATTCAAACAAGTTGGAAAATACGTGTATTTCAGTTAAAAGTAAGTACTATTCAATCATTACGAAAGATTGTAATACATTTTACATTATAATTGTTTACAACACTGTTTCATTTATATTATCGTAGGCTAGGCGTTTGGGCGTAACAGTCTTAAAGTGTATTAAATTTTTACACATTGACAGTTTTTTCAATTGTAGTGTTAATGATCTTCCCAGGCTTGGCTCGGGCAACTGGCCTGCGGGGATCCCCAATTTGGCCCGCGAGTAAACTTAGTTGAATAGTCCTGGTCTCAAAACAATCTGTCCTCTCTTTTCTGCCTGACAGTCTGAGGCCATCTATAATTTGTTTCTGTCTGACAGTCTGAGACCATCTATAAATTGTTTCTGTCTGACAGTCTGAGACCATCTGTCATCTGTTCTTGAGCAGTCTGAGGCCATCTATTGTCTTTTCTCTGTCTGACTGTCTGACACCATCTATCATCTTTTCTTTGTCTGACACCATCTATCATCTTTTCTTTGTCTGACACCATCTATCATCTTTTCTTTGTCTGACTGTCTGACACCATCTATCATCTTTTCTTTGTCTGACACCATCTATAATCTTTTCTCTGTCTGACTGTCTGTCACCATCTATCAAAATTTCTTTATTTGTCAGTCTGAGACAATCTATCATCTTTTCTGTGTCTGGCTGAGACCATCTATCATCTTTTCTATGTCTGACTGAGACCATCTATCATCTTTTCTATGTCTGACTGAGACTATCTATCATCTTTTCTGTGTCTGACTGAGACCATCTATCATCTTTTCTGTGACTGACTGTCTGAGACCATCTATAATCTTTTCTGAGTCTGACTGAGACCATCTATCATCTTTTCTGTGTTTGACAGTCTGACACCATCTATCAAAATTTCTTTATTTGTCAGTCTGCGACCATCTATTATCATTTCTCTGTCTGACCGAGACCATCTATCTTCTTTTGTCTGTCTGACTGAGACCATCTATCATCTTTTCTCTGTCTGACTGAGACCATCTATCATCTTTTCTGAGTCTGACTGAGACCATCTATCATCTTTTCTGAGTCTGACTGAGACCATCTATCATCTTTTCTGTGTCTGACAGTCTGACACCACCTATCAAAATTTCTTTATTTGTCAGTCTGAGACCATCTATCATCATTTCTCTGTCTGACTGAGACCATCTATCATCTTTTGTCTGTCTGACTGAGACCATCTATCATCTTTTGTCTGTCTGACTGGGACCATTTATCTTCTTTTGTCTGACTGAGACCATTTATAATCTTTTCTGTGTCTGACTGTCTGAGACCATCTATCTTCTTTTGTCTGTCTGACTGAGACCATCTATCTTCTTTTGTCTTTCTGACTGAGACCATTTATCTTGTTTTGTCTGTCTGACTGAGACCATCTATCTTCTTTTCTGTGTCTGACTGAGACCATCTATCATCTTCTGTCTGACTGTCTGAGACCATCTGCCATCTGTTCTTTGGCAGTCTGAGACCAAAAATCATCTTTTCTCTGTCTGACTGTCTGAGACCATCTATCTTGTCTGTGTCTGACTAAGACCATCTATAATCATATCTTTGACAGTCTGATACCATCTGTCTTCTTTTCTCTTCTGACAATCTGAGACCATCTATCATCTTTTCTTTGTCTCCTTTTCTCTTCTGACAATCTGAGACCATCTATCATTTTTTCTTTTTCTCACAGTCAGACATCATTTATCATCTTTTCTCTGTCTGACAGTCTGAGACCATATATCATAATTTTTCAGACTGTCGGTCTGAGACCATCTGTCTGGTCAGACTGTCTGTCATCATTTTTCTGTCTGCCTCCACCTCTTCAACTACTGTCACCATGATGTCCTCCAAGACGTCTTTCTCACCACATGACCAAAGACTCTACTGTTTGTCTGCTTGTCACAGTTTTTTACAATATATACATCAATGCTTTCAGGCTGTTGGGGTTCTTTGAGGTGCTGCTAGAGGCCCCATGTTGCTGCCAGTTTCTGGACTTCATCCAGCCCATCAGTCAGTTTAGTGAGAGGAGGTCCTATTGGCAGAAGGCATTAGCTTACGCACTGTGAGTGTTTTGTCTGAGAGGCAGGTTGCTGTTTGTATACTGGATCCCTGTGGGGGGAGGTGGGGGGGGGGCTGGTTTGGGAATGGGAGAGAAGGGTTGCTGTTTATATACTGGATCCCTCGTGGGTGGGGGGGGGGGGGGGGGGGGGGGGGGGTTGCTGTTTATACTTGGATCCTTTGGGGGGGGGGGGGGTTGCTGTTTATATAGCTGGATCCCTGGGGTGGGGGGGCTGTTTATATGTTGGATCCCTTGTGGGAGGGGTGGGGAGTTGTTTATATGCTGGATCCCTTGGGGGGGGGGGGGGGGTTGCTGTTTATATGATGGATCCCTGGGGGGGAGTTGCTGTTTATATGCTGATCCCTGGGGGGGGGGGGGGGGGGGGGGCTTTTGCTGTTTATATGTTGGATCCCTTGTGGGGGGGGGGGGGTTGCTGTTTATATACTGGATCCCTGCCAGAAACTGTGGGGGGGGGGGGGGGTAAGTTGCTGTTTATATGCTGGATTCCTGGGGGAGGGGGGTGGGTATGCTATTTGCTGCTGTATCCAAGGTCCTAGTTTGTAAGCTGTCTACAACACCAGCTTCTGGACCACTAGGACAGCTGGAGCTGGGAACGTAACATTCTCCTGCACCTGTACCTACCTGGCTGATTGATCTCTGGATATTGATGGGAATAAAACAACACTGTTGTTAACTGGAGGTAATCTGTGGGTGACTAACTGCTGGCTGTGTGATATCATACAGGCCTCCATTGATCCCGCCCTTGCTGTGCTTCTCGGTGACCACCATGTGTGGCAGTGCCCTGCTGATGGCTTCTGGAGTCATATATGGCCTGATTGCTCTCGGCAGAAAGTGAGTATTTCTTTTACCTGATCTCATGTGTCTGTGATAGCAGCTTGGGTGTGCTCTGATCAGGCCCAGTCAACATTCTCATGTGTCTGTGATAGCAACTCGGGCTGTGCTCTGATCAGGCACAATCAACTATTCTCATGTGTCTGTGATAGCAACTTGGGCTGTACTCTGATCAGGCACAGTCAACTATTCTCATGTGTCTGTGATAGCAACTCGGGCTGTGCTCTGATCAGGCCCAGTCAACTATTCTCATGTGTCTGTAATAGCAACTCGCGCTGTGCTCTGATCAGGCACAGTCAACATTCTCATGTGTTTCTAAGGCATGACTCAGTTGTATGTCTATATGCTAATGGTCCCACACTGCATTGATCATGCAGGGATAGCACATACAACATATACAGAGTGACTGCCTGGTTCTTTACAGATATAAACTAAAAGACAAGCTTTAGTCAGTCATGCAGCCATCACAGGAAGTGTAGGTTTCAACTGGACCTCATCAGCTGCCTCACGGTTGTCTGCTTGGATTTAAACCAGTCTGGCCAGATTTCTGGCAGTAACTGGCTTCATGCATTCTGCTGAAGCTGCCAGGTGTGTGTGCATGATGAGGCTTGTCACTGCTCTATTTGATTTTTGTAACGTACTTCAGGACTGCACCAGTGATAACACATTAAGGCAAACCTTTGGCCAGAAAGAACAACAGTGGAATGATAACTCTACAGACCATTTAATGAACTAAAAACGACGTGAAATTTCTATGAGAGAAAATTGTTGATATTTACAGCATACAGGGTCCGACAATTAAGTAATGACTGATTTTATTATGGCCAAGACAAAAATGCCATCTATGAATCAAAGCATGAATCCAAAGAGGCAACCCTTGTCTGTGATCTGGCAGGGAACCTTTCATCGCTGCCTGATAAGCAAACACCAAACAAGCCGCCATTTTGTAAACCTAGTCAGAGGTGCATTGTTATGTAATCAGCATGGAGCAAAAAAGCTAACATTAAATTCAGTTTAAAACTCAGAAAAAAAGCACCATTGCGACAGTTAAATTGATGCGACAAGTTTATAGGGATAATTATTTATCTCGTGTACAGATTGTCAGCTGGTATTCATGTGAATGAACTGCTATATGTTCCTCTTACAGGGCTGACAGACACATTACATTGGTTGTTATATGAATGAACTCCGTGTGTTCATGTTTCAGAGCTGACAGACATATAACAATGGTTGCTCTGTGAATGAACTGCCATATGTTCATGTTACAGAGCTAGCAGACATATAACATTGGTTGTTATGTGAATGAACTGCCAAATGTTTATGTTACAGAGCTGACAGACATATAACATTGGTTGTTTTGTGAATGAACTGCCAAATGTTTATGTTACAGAGATGACAGACATATAACATTGGTTGCTCTGTGAATGAACTGCCATATATTCATGTTACAGAGCTGACAGACATATAACATTGGTTGCTCTGTGATGAACTGCCATATGTTCATGTTACAGAGCTGACAGACATATAACATTGGTTGTTATGTGAATGAACTGCCAAATGTTAATGTTACAGAGATGACAGACATATAACTATGGCTGCTCTGTGAATGAACTGCCATATGTTTATGTTACAGAGATGACAGACATATAACTATGTCTGCTCTGTGAATGAACTGCCAAATGTTTATGTTACAGAGCTGACAGACATTTAACAATGGTTGCTCTGTGAATGAACTGCCATATGTTCATGTTACAGAGATGACAGACATATAACAATGGTTGCTCTGTGAATGAACTGCAATATGTTCATGTTACAGAGCTGACAGACATATAACTATGGCTGATCTGTGAATGAACTGCCAAATGTTTATGTTACAGAGAGGACAGACATATAACTATGACTGATCTGTGAATGAACTGCCAAATGTTTATGTTACAGAGATGACAGACATATAACGATGGCTGCTCTGTGAATGAACTGCCAAATGTTTATGTTACAGAGCTGACAGACATATAACAATGGTTGCTCTGTGAATGAACTGCCATATATTCATGTTACAGAGATGACAGACATATAACAATGGTTGCTCTGTGAATGAACTGCAATATGTTCATGTTACAGAGCTGACAGACATATAACTATGGCTGCTCTGTGAATGAACTGCCAAATGTTTATGTTACAGAGAGGACAGACATATAACTATGGCTGCTCTGTGAATGAACTGCCAAATGTTTATGTTACAGAGATGACAGACATGTAACGATGGCTGCTCTGTGAATGAACTGCCAAATGTTTATGTTACAGAGATGACAGACATATAACATTGTTTGTTATGTGAATGAAATGTTATATGGTTGTGTTACAGAGCTGACAGACATATAACAATGGTTGCTCTGTGAATGAACTGCCATATGTTTGTGTTACAGAGCTGACAGACATATAACATTGGTTGTTGTGTGACCATATGTTCATGTTACAGAGCTGACAGACATATAACATTGGTTGTTATGTGAATAAACTGTTATATGGTTGTGTTACAGAGCTGACAGACATATAACATTGGTTGTTATGTGAATGAACTGTTATATGGTTGTGTTACAGAGCTGACAGACATATAACATTGGTTGTTGTGTGAATGAACTGTTATATGGTTGTGTTACTGAGCTGACAGACATATAACATTGGTTGTTGTGTGACCATATGTTCATGTTACAGAGCTGACAGACATATAACATTGGTTGTTATGTGAATGAACTGTTATATGGTTGTGTTACAGAGCTGACAGACAAACAATGATCACCCGGGCCCGCGGCCGAGATGTAGAAATGAACTCAACATTGGTGACCAATGAAATCAGCCCGAACCCGTTCTCATCCACCCAGTGATGAGTGGACATTCCTAGCATGCCAGGGACAAGTGCTGAAGTTTCCATATATTTGTTGAATGTCAAATATAGTCAGTTTCATTTCTGTGGTTTATGCAACTGTGAGCCAAACAGGCAGGTTGGTGCAAACATTAGAAGTGTTAGTTGTTGATGTCATCTCTACAGACACCAGCAGCTCATACAACCTGCTAGTCTCGCCAGTATTATATTGAGTTTATTTTTTGCCATTGGATATTCCCAGTACATACTTTATGTTTTCTAGAGATTCATTGTTTTATATTGTGAGGATTTGCTATTAAAGCTATTCTTCAGTGACAGCTCACTAAAATGTATAAAGTACAATTGTTGTCTTGGGGCTGCATTTCTGCCAGTCATAACAGTATGTGTACAAGAGTATATGTCCTTGATAGAGCTGCTGTATGTCCTGTACATGTGGCCATCAGTGTATAACAAAGTCTTGGGTTGCATGTGAGATACAACAGTTAAAACAAAGAGGTATTTGCTTGGACTTATATCGTTAAAGTCTAGACTGTCACTGGTGCATGCCAAGACTTGTTTGAATTACCAGTGACGAAAGGCATCTGTGGTATGGCAATCTGAAAGATTTCAGAGGAGTCTGGTTATCATATTGTTATCATATTATCACATTGGGAAGAGAGCGCAGAGAGTAGTATAAAAGTGGTATGGCAGAATTAGAGGTACACCAACTGGAAGATGAAAATGCAGGGTAAGACCTGGCTGGGGATTTTCAGCTAGAATAAAGGGAAAGGTTGTGGCCTACAAAATTGAGCATCTGTATCTACAACTTTAAGCATGAGAGTGGAAGTGGAGGCGTACAAAATTGAGCATTTGTATCTACAACTTTAAGCATGAGAGTGGAAGTGGAGGCGTACACAATTGAGCATCTGTATCTACAACTTTAAGCATGAGAATGGAAGTGGAGGCGTACAAAATTGAGCATTTGTATCTACAACTTTAAGCATGAGAATGGAAGTGGAGGCCTACAAAATTGAGCATTTGTATCTACAACTTTAAGCATGAGAGTGGAAGTAGAGGCATACAAAATTGAGCATTGGTATCTACAACTTTAAGCATGAGAGTGGAAGTGTAGGCCTACAAAATTGAGCGTTGGTATCTACAACTTTAAGCATGAGAGTGGAAGTAGAGGCATACAAAATTGAGCATTTGTATCTACAACTTTAAGCATGAGAATGGAAGTGGAGGCGTACAAAATTGAGCATTGGTATCTACAACTTTAAGCATGAGAGTGGAAGTGGAGGCGTACAAAATTGAGCATTGGTATCTACAACTTTAAGCATGAGAGTGGAAGTAGAGGCATACAAAATTGAGCATCTGTATCTACAACTTTAAGCATGAGAGTGGAAGTGGAGGCGTACAAAATTGAGCATTGGTATCTACAACTTTAAGCATGAGAGTGGAAGTAGAGGCATACAAAATTGAGCATTTGTATCTACAACTTTAAGCATGAGAGTGGAAGTGGAGGCGTACAAAATTGAGCATTTGTATCTACAACTTTAAGCATGAGAGTGGAAGTGGAGGCGTACAAAATTGAGCATTTGTATCTACAACTTTAAGCATGAGAGTGGAAGTGGAGGCGTACAAAATTGAGCATTTGTATCTACAACTTTAAGCATGAGAGTGGAAGTGGAGGCGTACAAAATTGAGCATTTGTATCTACAACTTTAAGCATGAGAGTGGAAGTGGAGGCGTACAAAATTGAGCATCTATGTCTACAACTTTAAGCATGAGAGTGGAAGTGGAGGCCTACAAAATTGAGCATTAGTATCTACAACTTTAAGCATGAGAGTGGAAGTGGAGGCCTACAAAATTGAGCATTTGTATCTACAACTTTAAGCATGAGAGTGGAAGTAGAGGCCTACAAAATTGAGCATTTGTATCTACAACTTTAAGCATGAGAGTGGAAGTGGAGGCGTACAAAATTGAGCATCTGTATCTACAACTTTAAGCATGAGAGTGGAAGTGGAGGCGTACAAAATTGAGCGTTGGTATCTACAACTTTAAGCATGAGAATGGAAGTGTAGGCCTACAAAATTGAGCGTTGGTATCTACAACTTTAAGCATGAGAATGGAAGTGGAGGCCTACAAAATTGAGCGTTGGTATCTACAACTTTAAGCATGAGAATGGAAGTGGAGGCAATCACTGCAGCTCTGAATTGGATAGCAGAAAACAGATACCAAAGGAATTATTATAGCAAGCATCAGTAAGCCAGCATTGCAGCGAATCACGTGGATAAACTGTCCGGGATATGCAGGAGTGTGAGTGAGTGAAAGAGCGGATTTTCTGGCACCAAAAGTGATAGTTATGAGAACACTCCTACAGGAAAAGAGGAGATAATCTGAAGACCACAAAGGAACAAATGTTTACTGAAGACGCGAGATTAGATGAAAAAAAAAGTGTAAGAATGTGTGAATGAATAATTAGGAATGGATCCGACAAGGAGGGACGTATGAGAGGAAGAGCATGACTTGTGAATAATCAGTGTGCTACGAGAACAGTTAGCATCTTCACCTTAAAACATTTGCAGCAGGAGTCCGTATCATTTATGGGTATGCCCGGTGTGCTATGATGTCGATTCTTAAATCAGTAATTAGTGGTTATTTTAAGGTTTTTGAAGGTTTTTATCATTATAAATGACACCTAATTTGTATCTTCATCATAAATGACACTGATTTGTATAATGAATGACACATAATTTTTATATCTATCATAAATAACACCTAATTTCTATATCCATTATAATGACACCTAACTTGTGTTTCCATCATAAGTGACAGTGATTTACACATCTATCATGGACACCTTATTTGCCTCTCTCTTCTGTGTATACAGAAGTGTTGTTGTTTTTCCTCCACATGTTTATGTCAGTGTAATTTTTGTGTGGTTTTCTGACATCAGAGTTGTGCAAGCTGGATTACTCCTGAGTTATCGTGATTGCATGTCTGTTGTTGATGATTGTGGGAACACCAGCGCACATTCCTCCTGAGTTATTGTGATTGCATGTCTGTTGTTGATGATTGTGGGAACACCAGCACACATTACTCCTGAGTTATCGTGATTGCATGTCTGTTGTTGATGATTGTGGGGAAACACAGCGCACATTCCTCCTGAGTTATTGTGATTGCATGTCTGTTGTTGATGATGATTGTGGGAACACCAGCGCACATTACTCCTGAGTTATTGTGATTGCATGTCTGTTGTTGATGATTGTGGGAACACCAGCGCACATTCCTCCTGAGTTATTGTGATTGCATGTCTGTTGTTGATGATTGTGGGAACACCAGCGCACATTCCTCCTGAGTTATTGTGATTGCATGTCTGTTGTTGATGATTGTGGGAACACCAGCGCACATTCCTCCTGAGTTATCGTGAAATGCACCAAATCTGTTGTTGATGATTGTGGGAAACACCAGCGCACATTACTCCTGAGTTATTGTGATTGCATGTCTGTTGTTGATGATTGTGGGAACAAATTGACAGCGCACATTACTCCTGAGTTATTGTGATCTGCATGTCTGTTGTTGATGATTGTTGTGGAACACCAGCAGCACATTACTCCTGAGTTATTGTGATTGCATGTCTGTTGTTGATGATTGTGGGAACACCAGCGCACATTACTCCTGAGTTATCGTGATTGCATGTCTGTTGTTGATGATTGTGGGAACACCAGCGCACATTCCATTGAGCCTCTCAGTAATTGGGGGCAGGATTTTATAGTATGGTTTCTAGCTGGGCACAGTGCCATCAATATTGAGTCCATAGGAAAATAATCTCCAAGAAATGAAACTGCCCAGTTATACTTTCTATTCTTCATGTTGTTTCTGTGTTTTCAGAACATTCCATGCCAGTGTTTTAGATTATTTTCGTCAGAATATATTTTCTGTGAATAATCAGCTTTTTTATAATGGTTATTCAAGAAGCTAGCGTTGTGTGATTCATTTTGAATGAGATCTGTGGCCGTCAATTTGGGAGTCAAATGAGATATGTTTGTTAGATGAGATTTTTTTCTGGCATGTGTAGGTGCTTGGTATTAGATGAGAGAATAGTGTTCATGTTGGAAGGACAGAAGCCTGGCCGTTGCTCACATCTGGGATCTGATCCCATGTCTCTGGGGGCAGCAGTTGTCTGAGACAGCCAGACAGGGTGGGGAATCTTTCTTTCTTGGCTACTGGTAGGCAGTCAGTAGTACTGCCAGGGAGGCAGTTAGCTTTCAGCTTTACTGGCATGCAGCTAGTCAGCTGTACTGTTGTGTGGCTAGTCAGCTGAACTGTCATGTAGCTGGTCAGCGGTATTGTCATGTAATTGGTCAGCGGTACTGGCATGTAGCTAGTCAGCAGTACTGTTGTGTGGCTAGTCAGCTGTACTGTTGTGTGGCTAGTCAGCTGTACTGTTGTGTGGCTAGTCAGCTGTACTGTCATGAAGCTGGTCAGCGGTATTGTCATGTAATTGGTCAGCGGTACTGGCATGTAGCTAGTCAGCAGTACTGTTGTGTAGCTAGTCAGCTGTACTGTCCTGTAGCTATTTAGCTAGTACCAGGACTAAACCAGTACAACCAGGATGTCTGTGAAAATGTGATCTTTGATTGACATCAGAGATCAGGTTTATACATGGTGGCTAGACATCCTGGTTGTACAGGCTCAGTCCCTGGTTTTGGATGCTGTCCCTGATTGAAATATCTCTAGATGTGGGTATCAGATCTGTTTCCAGGAGATGAGGTTCCACATCCGACATGGAGTGTCTGTTGGTAAGGTGATTTGACGTCGGAAATAAAGTGTCTGTTGGTAAGGTGATTCGACGTCAGACATAAAGTGTCTGTTGGTAAGGTGATTCGACGTCAGACATGAAGTGTCTGTTGGTATTGATTTGACGTCAGACATGAAGTGTTTGTTGGTAAGGTGATTCAAAGTCAGACATGAAGTGTCTGTTGGTAAGGTGATTCGACGCCGGACATGAAATGTCTG